CTGACAAGCAGCGATTTGTGGACGAGATTAACAGCGTCACCGCAGAGAAACTCATCTACAATCAAGCTGTGGAGATGGTAAGCCTCAGATACAAGAAGTCTGAATTATATTGTTTTACTGCTGTGTAGCCGTTGACCTGAAAACCTCTGCTGTGGAGCAATGTAAGGGTCAGTACAAGAAAAATGCTTGATTTGGGTGTATGTTGGTTATTTTGGTATAAAGAAGATAACATAGATACATCTTTATTAAATATACAATTTTACTGTTTTTGAATCTGAGATTTTTGCCACTGTCACATAATCATTGACACTTGTGATTTTTTCAGATGCTATGTTGAGTAAAGAACAGCTATTACATGTTTTGTTAAGCCTTACCTGATGATGTGTGGGTGACTGTGTGTGTGTGTGTGTGTGTGTGTCAGGTTCAGTCAGCAGCTCTGGACGAGATGTTCAAGCAGACAGAAGATATCGCGTACCGCTACAGCAAGGCGGCCATGCTGCTGGACGGCCTGTCCAAGATCCTGCAGGACCCGACGGATGTCGAGAACGTGGTTAAGTGTGAGTACAGACTCTGAGCGCTTGTTTAACTATTGGCCTCATACAAGAGCAACCAGTATGAACACATATGGTTTTAACTTACATTAACTAGTGCTTTAAGAGTTTACTGCACAATTTATAAATTCTACAAGTACATCAGCAAAATGTCACTCATATAATTATGGACTGTGTGCAGAAGTTTCTTTGCAGTTTTTGATTGATTTCTCTCCCACACACCCGTCTTATTGAATGGATGTAGTGCATTTATAGCTTCAGTATGTTTTGATACTATCAATCATCTTTAAGAAACAACACAGAGAGATTGTCTTGTTTTATAACAAGAAGTATTGAAAAAGTAACTTCAACAACCTTACCTGCCACAATATTTCATACAGTGTGGACTTTCAGCTGATGAGGCTTACCCGTACATGAAACCTATTCCTCTGTAGTGCATGCTATGTTTTGTGTTGTCATTGATATTTAAATAAACCAATGAGGGTTGGGCACTTTGGTGCATGACACCTAAATAATAAATACAATCAATCTAAAAGAGAGCCTACACATGTCTGATAGGACAGACGTCTGTAGTCTGTTTGTCTAATTACTCTATTTAACTTTCAAGTTTGTTTTGGTACTTGTGTAAACACCATCTTGTTTTTGTTTCCCTGCAGATAAGGCGAGCGTGGACCGCAGGATCTCCGCCCTCTGCTACTGCACCGTCACACTGTACGAGTAGCATCGCGCGCACACACACACACACACACACACACACACACACACACACACACACACACACACACACACACACACACACACACACACACACAGAGGGATCGCAGCGTCCTGAGACTGTCAACCTTCATCCTCACAGAGCTGCTGGTCACTCCTGTAGCAGTTCAAGCACTTTTCATTCGCTCGTTTTCATCTGTATTTATCATCAGTTTTTGTTTTTTGTTTTTTCTGGCTGCATCACAGACTGAACTGTGACTGATGCACAAACTTCCAACCAAAGATGACAAAAAAAAACAGAAACTGAAGGCTGTAACTGGATGAGGACATGATGCATGCACTTTGCGGTGCATTTCTTTTCCTACACTATAATGGTGGACCTGAACTATACGTATATAAAGACTAATGTCTGTCATTCAGGATATCATTTGTTTTTTACCAGAAGAAAAAGACATTGTACAGGACTATGAGGCGGTTCATCTTTTTAAAAACCTGCTTACTCTGTGATATCAGTGGTTATTTACTCTGTTTTTTAGGTTGTTATTGATCTTATTTATTGGTTCAGAAGATGTTCGAATCTCCTGCCTATCTTGAAAACCTCAAGTATTGGAGTGAAAAGAGACGGAAGAAATTAGCAAAAGGCTGATGGCCAATCACTGTAACAGATTGGACCCAGAAACAACACAAACTCCTGTTACAGAAACCACACAGCCGTGTTTAGTCAGCGAGGAACCTGTAGATTTGAAACTGCTTTGTTTTTAATTTTGTTGTGTTGTTAGCCGAAGCACTTTATCGCAGTTTGTGGAGGAGACGAGTATCTGTAATAAGTTCTGGAGGTAGATATGTGAAGGCAGACGGGGGAGGGGTTTTCAAATCACTCCTCTTACACCCCCAAACCTACCTGCTTTGTGTGCATGAGCAACAAGTCATCAGAATGCATACATTTCCCATAAGGCCGAGCAACCAGGGAAACTCGGAACAGCCAAGACTTGTTGGCTGCAGCTCAACTTGACGACAATTTACCTTCAAAATAAGATTGATTTTACTAAAATTACTACAGCTGTTTATGTTCTGTCAGTATCAGTAGCTACTTTTTTTTTTAACAAGACTTGATGTTGCAAAGTTGTATATATTTATAAATATGTGATGCATGTGATGATTCCTTCTTCCACTTCTGGGAGGAGGAGTGAGAGTGTGTGTGTCTGTGTGTATGAGATCTGAGTTTTTGGGGGGTTGTTGACGATACCGTCAGCCTGTCAGTCAAAGAGCACAAATCTTTATATGTACATATATGAATTTGATACATTTTATCCATGTCTGCCAAGGGGCTTTGATAAGGATAAAACCTTTTTTGGCGCAACAGGGTTGTGCTAAAGAAAAAAAAAACTCATGGCAGCTTCAAAACTTTCCAGAAAACTCTTTCTACACAGGACTGTTGATCAATACACACTTATCTGTTCAGTGGGTCTCATGAAATTTTCTGAAATGAGTGTGAAAGCATCAGATTTCTCACTTAATTTATACAATTTTGTGAGACTTGAATTGTCAAAATCTGCACTGCCTATCGTCCACTTGGTTCCTCTGCCTCCCTTCAGTCGTCTGCTGTGCTACCAACAGTGTATGTACTGTATATATGTTTGTATGAGTGTGTATTTCTATAGAAAATACACACACAAGCACTTGCCAGGTGTGCATTAAGGCCAGTAGGAACAGACAACGATGGAAAAAAGGAGGTGCCTTCTTGTAAAAGCAGACATAGGCCTACTCCTTTGTACATGTGTGAATAAATTCTTTTTCAGTGTAAAAATGTGTATAAATGCATTCACAGGCACCCAGCGGCCTGTTTCTCTGATGTACTGTTCTTTTTCCTACACATATCCGGGTTTTTAAGTTTTCCTCGTCCTCGTCATGAGCACTCTGAACCACACGAAGCCTTTTACTGCACACAGAGTGACGAGGGACAAATAAATCTGACAGAAAGCCCACCTGAATCTGCTCCTGTCCATGGACTGTCACGAGAGGCGGACTGTTTTGGATAAAGCATGGGTACCAACCAAGTCTGCATTTTACCCTGTAGATCCTCTAGATTATTGAATGTATGTTCCCTGTTGTTTTACGCCTCTATTGCTTGTTCTGAATGCATTTTGAAGAACCCCGCCGTCAGTCATGATCCTGAAAATGCATCTCTATCCAAGCACCGATTTTTCGAAGACAAATGTCAATGTTGTGTCTCACCAAGGGATGTCTCTCTGTTCTTTATGGAACACAAATACAGTCTTTGTTATTAAAAAGAGAAACAATAAAGCTGTCTTGCTGTGCATTATTCAAAAATATATATTTATCATAATTGTCTTTGTTTGGATTCAACATAAAATTATTATCTTCAATTAATCTGATGAACGTTTTCAGAAGTAATCTTTAAGTCTGTCAATAGTGTAAAAAATGTATAACCCTATTTATTTGACTAAAAGGATATTATCATGTCCTCTTGTCAAACCATCAGTTTAAACCTCAAATACTCTTGGTTCAAGTCGGGACATTTCAGAAAGCTGTAAAGAGCTAAATGTTTATTTATGCCTGATAAAATTAGTGAAATATTATTAATTTGGGTGAAATATTTTGGGCATTTGATCAAATATCAAATTATGTATTATGATGATAGACCATAAACGCAACATATTAGGAAACAGACACTTTAGAGCTGCAGCGTTTAGTTCATTTATTGACTGATTAGAAATAATTTGTCTACCACTAGTCAGGACAAAACTTTAAATATTTACACAAGGAGACGGAATGAAATATTTTTGAATACACAAACAGATGTCAGAGTGTTTGAATTGATGTGCTGTGGATAGTACACATTTCATCAACTCTTCTGATGAGGACATACTATATTTGTTGATTTTGAATTGAGATGGATATTTGGGTCAATCATGACTCAAAATCCATCTGAGCCTCCCTTTACAATATTAAATGGCTGTTGCTGCGTAAATCTGCACCTTTTTGCAACTGCATTATTGTCTCCGCTCTACCTTTTTATGACCCTTGATAGAGCATTAAACCACTTGTTTATTAGTGTAAAATGTACCTTTCCATACAATTTTGAAAATGAACAAATTTTAAATTATTTACTGTATTTTCAAAGATGTCGGAGAGAAGCACAATTTGAAAGTAAGTCAGCCAACCGAGAAGTCTGCAGATGGATTTTAAATAGTTGAAATGCCGACCTAAGTGGCTCTTCCAGTTTTCAGCACCCTGCAGCTATATTGTTTTTCTTATTATTATGCAATGCTGGGGAGGATCAGCTGGGGGTTCCTGTAGCTGATTGGTTCTTTCTTTGATGGACACTTTAGCAGGCCAATTGCTGGTGCCGAATATGGCTAGTGATTCAAGTGATGTTGGAAAAATCCGGGAAAATGGTTTCCAGCTTGAATAAAACTATCATGTAAGCCCATAAGGCCCAGAACCAGAACAATTTAAAAAGTTGCATGCAATGCTGGTAGCTGAATTACCTATTTATTGATACGCTGAAAAATGGCGGGGAATAGTGACTTGACGGTCAAAAAGTTTGTGTTGCTAACCGTTTATTAGATTTTTGTGGTATTAGTGTGTAAGTTGACTACTGCATTTCGGTTATTAATTAAAAAAAAAAAATTGTAGTTTCAGTGTGCATGTATTTTCTCACGGTGTAAATCTCGTTCAGGCTACACCAGGTTTACACAAATGAGTCGGGAGAAGGGGACTTTCCGAGGAGCACCTGAATGCAGCATCACCCTCACCACTAGCCGACGGCGCTAACAACATCTCTAAATCCTGCTACCCGGTTGTTCTGAAAGGTAAGACTTTAATTTACCCTGTATACATTAATTTATGTACTTCAAAGCTCATATGTCTTCACATGGTTAATATAGATATGTATCTTAAACAGTTTAGACGCTGTCACTGACATTAGCAACAGAGCTAAGGCTAAGACAACTTTGAGGACGAGTGTGTTTATCTAACAGCTTGTTGAGTTATAGTTAACAAACCTTGATATTTATACACTTATAATCGGGTCATAATGACAGTATTGTTGTCTTTTTAAATTAAATAATTGTACTCTATTAATATCAGTATTGTAGTCTTTCTATTGAAATGCTTAAGCTATGTTAATACAGTATTGTAGTAGTTTTTCCCAGTTTATTTAACGAGTGTTTACCTCTAAAAGGTCTGGGGTAGTTCTTCTCTTCTAAACTTCTCATTAAATGACTATTTCTAAGAAGACTGTGCAATCAGTGGCTACTGTCAGACAAACTATTGTTGACTTTATAATGTCATTTAAGAAATCAGAAAGTTACAGCTGAGGACAGACAACTTAATCCAGATGTGTTATTTAAGATGTTGTCATAGTCTGGAGAAGTTAGAACATACTGTTCTGTTTGTCTAATAAGGCAATAAGGTTTTCACTTTTTCACATGCCTATGTATGTGATAATGTTTTTACCTATATGCATTTTGTTTGTATCCTTCATATGTTTTCTTATAACAGGCCATCAACCTAAAGACAAAAAATGATTGTGCACGGCTTAATCGAAGCACATGTAGGTGCCTGTGTTGATATATGTACATTGTCTCGTCATTTATTGAGTGATAGGACTTTATTTTCAGGCAAAATCTGAAATTTGTCTTGCATCACAATATACAAATTAACTTTAATTTGTATGTCTCTTTAGACAAGAGTCAAAGATACAGCTCCTTATTCAATTTTAGGATTGACTTGTGTTCAAAAGAGTGTTTCAGTCTGATTTAAAAAAATCTCTGGCATATTTAAAATTCAAGCTCAGGGCGTGGTTCGTGTCAGAGAAAATGCTGGAAGTCAGCCTTAACCTGTTTTTATAGTAGGCTGACTCTCATGAATGAAAACGATGAGTGTTACAGCTTTGTATTTAGGATGTCACGAGAACAGCTGGTCGTGCAGCAGGCGAGGAAGTCCTTCCTAACAGGGAAGACCAAACCTCTGGAGTTCAGGATCCACCAGCTGAAGAGCCTGCTGCGCTTCATCTCAGAGAGACGAGGGGACATCACGTATGCTGTCAAAAGAGACCTCGGCAAGGTAGAAGAAAAGAAAACAATCTGTTTATCTACATATTATGTAAAGACACATTATGCAAACCACTTGTGAAGCTCTGTGGGTGCTACAGGGCTGTCTCCATACTACAATTTAAAATAAAAAACAACACCTGTTTTGATACCACGGCAACATAGGTACAAGTCTTGGGGTCCCAATATCGAATATTTTCTTGTTTTTAATGACCAAAGATTGCTTACATACTTCTGCATACTGTCTAAGTTGCACAAATACATTGGCAATGTTAAAGTACTAAGTGTTGCTAGCAGCCACTATTGGTTAAAATATGGCTGATGGTCTGAAGTTGTGATTTTAATACGATTTATCATCTAATTAGTGGAGATTGTATTGTTATAAAACACGTGTTATCGGTAAATTGAAATATTTGACAACCTTAATGTAGACTAATAACCAGGTGTACCGTCTTAATTCTGCTTCCAGAGCGAGAAGGGCACAGAGCTGTTTGAGACGCTGGGGCTGGAGGGGGAGATCGAGCTGGCTGTAGAGAAGCTGGCAGAGTGGGCGGCTCCCCGGCCGGTGGAGAAGAACTTCCTCACCATAACAGATGAGGTCTATGTGCAGCCGGAGCCACTCGGAGTGGTGCTCATCATCGGGGCCTGGAACTACCCCTGGGCCATCACCCTCCAGCCACTAGTTGGAGCCATTGCAGCTGGTACTAAAATACTACTACACACCCTTTTGAGTTTTTAGCTATGGTTTCTAGTAGCTATACTGTTGTTGTTGTTGTTGTTGTTGTTGTTGTTGTTGTTGTTGTTGTTGTTGTTGAAGATGCACAACACAATTTTAACTCAGATTTTATTTTTAGGCCTACTGACCCTCTGAACTTTGATATCATGTATTTGAATGATTCTAAGCCAAATTTCCAGAGGCATTGAGCTCCAAACTAACACACATTAGATCAGAATGCACTGCAGCCACAACATTCATTAATTACTGAATATCACAGCTTTATACAAAACGTCTCAAGAGTACTTGATTTATTTATTTATTTTTATTCAGTGTTTAATGATCATCACCATCCCATCACTGTGTTCATTTCTTTAATCCTGCAGGTAATGCAGCAGTGATCAAACCATCTGAGGTCAGCTCTCACTCTGCCAAGGTCATGGAGGAGCTTCTGCATAAATATCTCGACAAAGTGAGCTTCAAACTCCTTTTCTCTTTTACCTACACTTAGAGTACAAAGATTGTTTTAATATCTGCACGCTCTCTCTGTAGGACCTGTACCCGGTGGTGACGGGTGGAGTGGCAGAGACTCAGGAGCTGCTGAGACAGAGATTTGATCACGTCTTCTACACAGGAAACAGCACAGTGGGCAGACTGGTGATGGAGGCTGCTGCTCGACACCTCACTCCGGTGACCCTGGAGCTGGGAGGGAAGAGTCCCTGCTACATCGACAAGAGCTGTGACATCTCTGTGGCATGTCGGTCAGTCTGAAATGTAGCATTGTAATGGTGCCAATAAAAGGTTATGCACGTGACATCAGGGTAGGCGGAAATCACTGCGGTTACATCTGAGAACGTAGTCCTGAGAAGCAACCAAATAGTAAAATAAATATAATGAATGAAATACAGAACAATAACAATATATTATTTGTTAATACCCGATACAGTCGCATCACATGGGGGAAGTTTGTAAACTGTGGTCAGACCTGCATCGCTCCAGACTACATCCTGTGTGAACCGTCCATCCAGAGCAGAGTGGTGGAAGAAATCAAGAAGAGCATCAAGGTGGGTCTGAAATTAAGATTTTAACCTGTTCGCATCTCTCAGGAGTCGAACAAAAGACAATAGCTAAGAATGACTTTGACCACAGCACAACACAACAATGAAGGGGAAATAAGTATCGGTTGAAGATGAAGACAATGTGAACATTATGTATCTTTAATTCCACATGCTGCAGGAGTTTTACACAGAAAATCCCAAAACCTTTGAGGACTACGGGCGCATTATTAACCAGCGGCACTTTAAGAGGGTCATGGCTCTGATGGAGGGAAGCACGGTGGCTGCTGGTGGAGACAGCGACGAATCTCAGTGCTACATAGGTATGTGATGTGTTTGAGATATTTTCCACCAAAAGCATCTGTGCTGTATGACTGCAGCCACGGAACTCTTACCTTTTAAAATGCTTTATTTAAAGTAGTATCAATTTGTTTTGAGCCTGTCCGTTCTCTCCTGACAGAGCCCACCGTGCTGCAGGATGTGACGGGGGAATCCAAAGTGATGAAGGAGGAGATCTTTGGTCCCTTACTTCCCATCATCACAGTGAGCGGTGTGGACGAGGCCGTCCAGTTCATCAACGAGAGGGAAAAACCCCTGGTTGTGTACGTCTTCTCTCACAACAACAAGGTGATTATATCACCGCCTGCAGACATGAATACATATATCTTTTGAAAACCTATTTAAAAAAAATAGGCTCTGGCTACAGAGGTGTTAAAATCCGAACTAATAGCAAAATCAGGCTTCATCATTCACTTAAGAAATGTCACAAATATCCTTTTCTATGTTGGCAGCTTGCCCGTGACGGCTGGAATGATGATTTGGGAAAGTCAGAATGAATGCAAATTTAGAATACATGAGTCCTAAACAAATGAAACAAAGAGCAGAAACTGTATGAACACTGATCACACTGCAAATAGAATAGAAGATATTAATTGTCACTGTACAGGTGTATAAGGCCATCAGCCCTCTCTCCCTCTGTATACCTGCTGATATGTTTTTTAATGTGGACGTCACCACAGGAGGAATAGCTGTGCTATAAGTAACAGCTAATGGGGATCCTAACCAATAATTATATAAACAAATAATATACACCAAAATTCTGTTGCACAGCCTGAAGACAGCTTAAATAGAATAAGATAATTATACAATCAAATAAAATCTAAAATTACAAAATTTTAAGTTGAAAATCACATAAATACGTCACCATGAGGTAGCAGTTAAGAACAATAGTATTCACTTGTATAACATGTAACAAGGAATGACACTATTGCACTTTAAGATAATCACTCATACATAAATGAAAAAGATTGTACCCACAATGCACTGCTCTGACCCTTCCTGTCTGATCAACAGCTGATCAAAAGGGTGATAGCCGAGACGTCTAGCGGAGCTCTGCTGGCCAATGACTGCCTAGTTCACTTCACTGTCAGCGCTCTGCCCTTTGGGGGAGTAGGTGAGTTTTAAACACTAAAATGAACCTCTAGCTGTTCACCCTGATGCACGTTCACAGCTGACTCCTCCCCTCACCTGTCTCTCAGGTAACAGCGGGATGGGCTGCTATCACGGCCGGCACAGCTTCGACCAGCTCAGCCACCTACGCAGCTGTCTGATCAAGCAGCTGAAGATGGAGGGCGTCAACAGCATGCGTTACCCCCCTCACACCGCCAAGAAGCTGGGCTGGGCTCGATTCTTCCTGCTGAATAGGGTGAACGTGTGCGGGCTGCAGCGCATCGCCATGCTCGCCATGTTGGCTGGCCTGGCAGCCTTTGTGGTCCAGGTAAAGAAACTCATGCACACCTGTTTGGTCAAATTAAGAACGTTTTCATGGTATTTCATTTGGTACTGATGATCTGGAGATTAGAGATGTTTAGAGATGATCTGAGTTCAGCTAGCTGCGTCCAGCTAATAACGACTTACCCTCATGATTGAATTTAAAAGAACTAATGCCTGCAATGTCATTAAAGGTCATCATCAGATCAAACTTTAGCAGCAAAGCACCTTGAAAACTGACAACATTGGGGCGCGCTGGTGGCACAATGGTTAGGGCGCGCGTCCCATGTGTTGAGACTCTCGTCTCAACACGTGGCCCCTTTCCGCATGTCATTCCCCGCTCTCTCTCCCTGGTTTCCGACTCTATCCACTGTCCTCTCTCTGAATTAAAGGCACGAAAAGCCCAAAATAAATCTTAAAAAAAAAAAAAAAACAACATTATCAATAAATCAAACTTTATTTGTAAATCACTTTTCAATCCATAGGCAAGGTAAGAAATAACTGGATGAAAGCAGACACTGAGGGAACGCTATCATGAATTCCTTCAGCTTATCTTCATCTCTACTTTGTATAAAGTTCTGAATTGCAAATGTTCTGCATTTAGAACTTATTTTGTTTCATGTGTTAGCATGCTAACACTAAAATACATTTTTGAACATGGTAAACTTGACACCTATGAAACCTGATACCTGTTAAACATGAAAAAATAAAAAGGATCTGCAGCCTGTAAACCCAGACTCTGTACCTCTTCAGTCTGTGGTGTGATGAAGACTATTCCCCTGACTATATTCACTATGGTTGTCATGTACAAGAATTTTTAAACTCAAGTTATAATACTTGTAAAAAATCCATTGAAATAAATTTCTGTATCAATGTAACAAATATAAATTGTAGGCACCCAAATAATTGAGTAATTTCTTGTTTTAACTCCAAAAACATGCACGCAAATGTATCCCATAATGGACGTACCAGCTAACAGCTAGCCACATTTAGCTTGACCATCACGTTTGTTTACTCTTAATTCACCTTCAGATAGATATATAGATCTTTATTGTCATGTTAATCAACCAAACTCTGTTGGAGCAATCCAGTTGCAGCATAACCAGCACACGCACACAAACACAAGCCAAGCACATCTCAACCATACCCACATACACATTCACATCCGTAAAAGAATGGAATAAATCATATAAAATATAGGGAGCAATGAAAGTAATTGCACAGAGTCCATTATTGTACAGAGTAGCTAGATTGCATGTTTTGATCTGGTTGTTGGTGAATGAATCAGTTAGTGTTTGGTGTGCTGAGTTGGTGGTCTCGTTGCAGACCGCACACTTTAAGAACTGAACCGTTAATCCGTCATGATTTGTCCTCGTGTGGAGTCTCACATTTTCAAAACTTTTAAGATTTTAAATACTTTTAGTGTGTACCAGGCCTAAGCTGAGCCCTGAGTAACTCAGGTGTACACAGCTAACTGATGTCCTTCTCTGCCTATTGGCTGCTGAGCCAGGAAGTTAAACCCAAACGACCACAACAGGCAGAGACGTCACAGTGTTGACAACATTAGAACTCATCTAGTGATATGAATCTGATCTGATTAAGTAGAGAGCTGTGTGATTCCTGTGACGTGGTGTAACTGACGTCTGTTTACTGCTTTTTAAATAACGACAGATTCATTTTTCCCCACGAGATATGAGTACTCCTCCCCCCTACATACCCACAATCCCACAGGCCTGGACCTTCACACAACAATGGCTTTGTCTCATGTGGACAATGTGTGGTGTTGTCCAGGAAATCTAACCTCATAACGCCCCCTCATCTACCCTCCCTTTAATTACCCAGCATGCTTCACTCTCCTCTGCTAAATGGCTCCTTTTGTTTTGGTCCACCCCACCACCTTTGTTGACATGCACACTTGTTTTGCTCCCGTGAACAGTCAAACGATCTGTTTTAATGTCTCTGCGTCTGTGTGTGGTGTTTCTTTCAGAGGTTCCTGCGATGAAGACGAGGAGAAGAAGCTGGCGTCCTGAGGTCTTACCTGTGGGTGTCCCAATGATTTAAAGTGAAATATACCCACGGCCCATATCATTTCTAATTCATATACTTTTGTTTTTGTATTATGTATGTCTTTAGAATTACCGGTACTCGTCTGTCACACTGAATGCTGCTATTGTAGTTTTATTGTTTTTCATATTTTCAAAGCAATATAATCGGTTTTATTTCAATTTCACATCATGCACGGAACATTTTACACGAGAATCAACACATCTGCTTTGAAGATAAACCGTAACAGCAAGTATCATTGTTGCATTCAAGGTTTTCAATCCTCCGTTACATTTTCTCACACGTTCTGCAATTAAACTCCAACAAACTAAAAAAAAGTCTCAGATGATTCTTCTTGACCTTTTTCATAGTCCATATTTTAGTTAGCAGGTAAGGTAGTAGAGGTGGTGAGGAGGGGATGAGAGCAGGAAGTGTTTGGTTAAAAATATATATAAATAAAATGTTCAGTTCAACATGTTTGAGAGAGTGACAAGCATGAAAAAACAAACCTGAGTGGACAAAGTTTCTTTCTTTCTTTCATGTGTATTTTTGTCTTTTTCCTTTTCCCTTTCTATATTTTTCTCTTCCATTATCTTTCTTTATCTCTGTGTTTCTATTTTTCTTTCTTTCACTCTAAGAAAGACTGAATATCCAGAATAAAGTAGAAATAACATCTAAAGTAAGTCATACATTTTAGTATTTAAAAATAAAACTTCAACATTTGTTTATTTTCTACCTTTTTTTCTCAACATTGAACATTTTTTTTCTTTTAACTACATCTTTTATTTACAACATTTCCCCTGACCTTCTCAACGACAATTTATTTTGTCAACTTTTCAAATGTATTCTTGACATTTGAAACTTCTTTCTTTGTCTTATTTTCCACATTTCTTTGTGTCTGTTTTGCATCCTGAGAACTGTTTAACATTTAAAACTGGTCCAAAATCTGACATTAAAAAAAAGATTTTTCTCCTCTTTAATCAGAATAGTTTTCCTTCACATGACATCTTCATTCTCAAAATGTCCCTTCCATTCTTATCATAGAAAATGTATTATATCGAGTGCAGACGTTTGGACTCTCTTCTGCACAGTCAGACTTTAATTGTTCATGTCATACTTTATTCTTTAAAATTCATTTTGTAGATTTTTATGCCTTAATTGTAGAGACAGAACAGTGGATAGAGTCAGAAACCAGAGAGAAAGAGGGGAATGACATGCGGGAAAGGAGCCACAAACGGATTCAAACCTGGGCCGCCCACTTGGAGGATCACAGCATCCTGTTGTATACGGGGCGCCAAACTAACACTACAGTACCAACCCGCCCTTGTACTTCATTCTTGACTTTTCCACTAAATGTATTCTCTTCATTTCTACTGTAGTCTAGGATAAAACATCCTCCTCTCATTTTATCACGGTCTTTCTCAGAATTTTTTTCCCATGGTTATTGTTATTTAAAATATACTGTTTTTATAACACTCTGACCTCCATGAGGACTCTGAGGAACAAATGAGGTCATTGTATAATGGTGATGGTAAAACTGTATTAATAGAGTGATTAAATATTTTTGCATTGAATATAACTGGACAATATCAAATAAGCAAGCTACGACAAGCGATAACCGAGGTCTAAATCTATAATTCAAATGTGTCGCCTTGAATAAATGTCAGTGTGTGTGTGTTTGTGTGTGTGGAGGTGGGATCTGATGTTATCAAGGCTCTCAGTGTTTGAGGCAGTCTGAATGAAGCTGCTGGTCACAGTGAGTAAGCCTCCCTGTAAACTGATCCTGGAGCTGCCTGCACGCGGAGCTCAGTCTGTATGTGTGTCTGTAGCGTGTCGGACATCTGAACCGCTTTCACTTCAGATCCCTGGCTGAAGATTTAACTCGTATTTTTACAGAGATTATCCACTAAATGCTTGTTTACCTGAGCTCAAGTAAGTTTCATTTTTTTATTTGATATTGATGTATATTTTAAACATGACATGATTGATACATTTTCATTTATATTAAGGGGAAAAAATTATAAATGCAGATGTTGACGAGATGTTTTGAGCTCATTCTAGATTACAATGAAGCCGACTAGACTACAAAATAATCCTTGGGGCCATATTGAACTGTGCTTTGACTGTCTTGGAAAATAGATAGATTCATTAATCTCTTACTGAGGATTTCTCAGTGGATGAAAGTAAAAATCTGTCAGACAATCTTCAAACTGTAAACAGGCAATTGCTTTCTGGAGAATCTCAGCTGTTAGCAGGACAAGGACACACAAATAAACAATCATGCAAGGCTCCAGATTCTTTCCTTTGGTAAATTTAGATAATTAATGATGTCCTCACAGCACTTGTGTCACTCAGCATCGACAAATGGTCAAGTCATAATGTTTTGGATTTTTTAAATTCTTATTTTGGGGCTTTTTTGCCTTTATTTTAGAGATAGGAGAATGGATAGAGTCAGAGGGCAGAGTGAAAGAGCGGGGAATGAAAGGAGCCAGAGGTCGGATTTGAACCCGGGCCGCCCACTCTTGAGGATTTAAGCCTCTGTATATCGGGCACGTGCACTAACCACTAGACTACCAGCGCCCCAAGTCATAATGTATATGATGATTTAATATGTCATAGGTTTAGGCATGTTGATAGACAGTTACTACTGAAATTAGCTGGAATTCAGTGTCATGAAAGAACATTTCTTAAATTGCATTTATCCATTTATGTCTACTGTAAAAAGTATAAGCATCTGAAAAACAGTTTCATGAAAAATAAATCTTTAAGAACAAGTAGGCCGACTGTTCTGCTTGAAAGAATTTATAAATATATATATTGGTATTTTAAATCAACTGTTCCAAAAATATTATTATAATTGAGTATATGAGCCACAGTAAAAAATTCAAGTCATACTTTTATGAGATGAAAGTTATAGATTTAATAGAATATTTACCTTTTTTGGGGGATTGCGAGGAAAAGACTGATAAGAGTTCATTATGAGGTCACACATATGACCACAAGGGCAGGCAGCCCTGTCTTTATAGCCTTAGTACAAAAAATGTGCCAAAGGTATGAACATTTTCTAAATTATTCTAAAGATACTAATTCATGTAACTGAGTATAAATATAAGTTATCTATAAATTTATCTAATCTGTCAGAATCAAAATATCTTGTTAGGCACGCAAACCTCGGACGTTATTAATAAACTTACTTCATAAAAGGAACTTGCTAATTGAAATTCTTTTAAAATAAGTGGAATCTCTGTGCTTTAACCATTGACAACGCTGAGTTGTAACTAAACTTAACAACTTTATTCTCGTAAATTTACAACTCTTGTTTATTTACAACATTATTGTTGCTAATTTACAACTTAAATCTCATATATTCTACTTTAATCTTGTGATATTACGACTTTAATGGCGTAATATTACAACTTTCTTGTAAATTTTACAACTTTATCCTCCTAAACAAAGCTAAAACAGATCCGACACTAACCCTTCAGCGCTTTTGTGACAGCACCAGAAACAGAGATGTACAATTGAATATCATCAGCATAAAATGATAGTGATGGGTAATAATATTTACAAGTGGTAGCATAAAAGACAAACATAATGGGTCTTAGAATGGTTCCCTGAGGAATCCCATTTAAAATAAAACGAATGTCTGATACACAAGCTCTAAGGCTGATAAAGAAATATTTCATAAACACAGTTAGAGACCAAAGATAAGTTTTCTCAAGTTTTTTGATGAATGTCCTGCAGCCCCCGAGACTCCTCCTGCAGTCTCTATGGAGAGACAAGCAGTGAAACGGGCCAGAGAGGCCTTCCTGAGCGGCAGGACTCGGCCGCTGGAGTTCAGACTGCAGCAGCTTCACGCCCTGCAGAAGATGATCAAAGAGAAAGAGACGGAGATCTCCACCGCTCTCAAACAGGACATCAACAGGGTGAGTGCAGGGTGACTGATGCATGTAACATGTAATGTACATTATGTCAGTGTAATGGTGTACTTTCTATCCATGGTCTGTAAATACGTGAATCTGACTGGCTGCAGGGGTAAAATACATCTATGATAATGAATTAGTCTACTCACTGTTGCAAATGAATAAGCTTGCTGCAGCTTGTATCCAAATAGAGCTGTAAGAAAGCTGTCAAAGTCAAAAGTCAAAGTCTTAATTTAAAATTAAAAAAAAGTAAATAACAAGCTAACATTGTATTACACCAGGATTGACATCAACATGTCTTTTAATCTTTACCCTTTTTAAACCTCTCTGAGAACCTAAACTCTTTTGTTTTACAAAAGTTTAGTCAAGTAACAATGATATGATCCACTGAATTAAATTCTTTAAGTAGGTCTATGAAAAATGCAGCACAATGTTGATGATTCTCTAAGACCTTAATGATTGTTTGGTACAGAAAGAGTAGTTGTTGTTGTTATGCTATGACTTGTTTTTAATCATGGGTGGCAGTAGCTCAGTCAGTAGGGACTTGGGATGGGAACCGGATGGTTCAAGTCCCAATATGGACCATAATATTGAAGTTGGTCTGGTAGCTGGAGAGGTGCCAGGGTACTTCCCGAGTACTGCCCTTGAGCGAGGCATCGAACCCCTAACCGCTCTGGTGCGCTCCCTGTGTAGCAGGCCCACTCTGACATCTCTCCACTAATGCATGTCCACAGGCCTATGTGTTTGAGAAGCATGTCAGGTTTATTTACCTCAGAAATTAATAAAATATATACATTTTTTTTTTAAATCCTGTTTGTTACGGCTAGTTTGGATCCAGAGAGACTCACCTCGATGCTCTTAATCTATTAAGATAAATCTCTGCTGTTTTACTTGTTATTTTTAATGTCTTTTAATGTATTGATATATCTTACATTTTGTTAATATGTATGGCTGCTCATTGTTTGTTGGAAACTTTGATAACTGAGCTGCTGCCTGTCTTGGTAAGGACACTCTTGGAAAGAGATTTATTGATCTTCACAAGTTTTCTCCTGGTTTTTAAAAGGTTAAACAAATGGCAAAACTACAAGAGATGACAAACATGACAATAACATTAATTGAATAGCTGTTCATGTCACCTGCAGCACATATTTGTGCAGACTCAGAAACTATCATGTAGCCTTTTTTCCCCTGATTCAACCATTACATAGAGGTACTGTTAAGGCCTCAAACCACAGTTTGACAAGCTTGGAAAGATTTTGATTGTGTATAAAAAAATCCTATTCTTTATGTTTTGACCTTTATTAATGATTCCTCACAAAGCTCTACCTGCTGATCAGGCAACAACCTAGAAGAGAAGATATTTACATGAAACTTCATATTACAGTGTTTATGATCCAAGTTGGAACCAGTTAGTTCTGTAGAGAGAAGAATTCCTAAAGTTAATTAATCCAGTTTCCTTCTTGTTTAAAGAAAACTTAAAATGTTCCGCTGTTTCTTCTCTGTATTAGAAATAGAAAACAATGTTGTCTGCATATAGAGATAGTATACTGTTGTTACAGAGTCAGTACGACACGCCGCTCCTGGAGCTGATTGGCATCGAGAACGAGATCAAACTGGCAATAGAAAAGTTGAAGGATTGGGCGGCTCCCCGGTCAGTAGAGAGGAGCCTGTTTACTTTAAAAGACGAGGTTTATATCCAGCCGGAGCCGCTGGGAGTCGTGCTCATCATCGGGGCCTGGAACTACCCCTGGGCCGTCACCCTCCAGCCGCTTGTTGGGGCTATTGCTGCTGGTAAGATGCCTCTATGTCTCCATGACAACTTGTAATCTGCAATCTGTTTTGGTGACACTTCCTGCCTGTAATGAGCATCCAACACATAGAAAGGTATTTTGAAATACCTTTGAAATGCCTGAAATTAATCAAGATCAATCAAGATTGTACTTAATTTAAAAAACAGAAATTCCCTAAACCGAATGTTGAATCATAGAGTCGACTGATTGGTGGGTCACAGCTCTACCCTGTGTCCCTGTATATGAGACAGTTACAGGGGATAGCTACCTCGATTTTAAATGATAATTCCCACCCTGTGCACAGTGTTCTTTATCTTCTCCCCTCTGGACTGAGAGTTTAAGTCCAAAGGTTCAGAACGAAGCGATACAACAACAGCTCTGTTCCTGCTGCTTCCACTGAACTGAACAAGCTGTGGCCATATTTGCAAATACAGACTTATTTATTTATTTATGGGCTATTTTTTTATTGATCTTATTGTTTGAGACTTTTATCTCCTATATGCCCTGATTGGTATTTTATCATTTAATGGTTTACCTTCTCTCTAATGTGTTGTCCCTTGTAACATCTGTTTTGTAATCTGTGTATCATGATGGCTGTCAATCTTGCTGGCTACAAACAAATCTACCTTCAGGAACAAATAATTAAACTGAACCTGATTCCTAAATGTTCCCATAGTCCTATTTGTCTCTTGGACTCCAGGCTGTCCACATTTAGCTGCCACCACAGTCGCATGAGTAAATAAAGACAATAATGCCTCTAAATATACACGTTTAATTGTTCTTAGAAACTACTTTTTACTGAACAAGTCTAAGATTCAGTAACAGAGAAATGTACTCTTGTTAGCTTCAGTTTGACGGCAGTCAGCGCTGCATTCTCAGCCTCCTACTTGTCTGCTCTCCGTCACTCAATGATCTCACTCCATTCACAGGAACCCGTGTCCTCTCTCCCTCTCTCTCTCTCTCTCTCTGTGCAGGCAACGCAGCTGTGGTGAAGCCGTCAGAGCTAAGCGAGTTCTCGTCCCTCCTCCTCCGGGCTCTGCTGCCTCGCTATCTGGATAAGGTCTGAACACCGGAGCTATTGTTGATAGAAAAAGCTGCTGTAATGTCAAAGCCTTGCACCAACACAGCACAGTGAGCCCTGGATGTGTTTGACGCCAAGGCTAAAAGGCCACTCTATGACAGGACCCGTTCCATCAGCAGAGACTCATTCTTCCCAGACACTAACATCATCTGTAAAGGAGTTATTTTTAAACCAAGTGACGCTATTTTGACCTGATAAAAAAAAGTTTTGAAAAGTCTCCAACGGTTTGTGGCCAACATCTGAAGGCCACAAAATGGGCTGTGATGACTGCAAAATCGTCCTTGAGGGTTAATTTGCTTGTTCAAGTACGCCCACTTACATTTTTCATTTCCAATAGCAGGCCCAGTTTGTTATACTTAGTGTCTAACAACATCATAGAAAGGATTCCTGCAGAGATAGACAATTTCTTTAAGAGGAAGATCCTCTTTTCAAACCAGAAACAGACTTTGAGTCTCTCTTTTCTAAGCCACCAGTCTCCACAGACAAAAACAGTGAGACTGGTTTCTCTTATCCGCCCCTGCCTTGACTGGTTAGTTTTTTTTGTGTTACTGTGTGACTTTGGTGTTGAAATATTTTTGATCCAACACAACACAACAAACTAAAAGATTGAGGCTGCAGAATAACAGGAAGCTTCTGTTATTTTAAGTGGAAACTTACTGTTTTTGTTAAAGGAGTCTGGCATCTTAAACAAGAGAGATGAAATGGCTTTTTCTAGTTGTCAAATGTATATTACTCCTTTAAGACTAGCTCTATCTCTATGGGATACTTTCCATTCTTTTGTCAGACACTTTTGTTAATAAAAGAATCAGCAGTGTGTCAGTTGCAAAAACAAGCATGCTAGTGGACAAACTTTTATCAGGCATAGGTATATACAATCTTTTGCAGTCCATTTCTCATCTACTAAAGCAAATCCAGAACTTTTAGTACCTTGTATCATTACAAATCAAATATGTAACAATAGGACCATTGTTTAAAGATTTGAAATTCTCACTGATGTTTCAGGAACATGCCACCAATTTTCATGTACAGTATGCTTTATGATTTCATTAGTTCTTCGGTGCAGTTTTATATTCTTATATTGACGAACATGTTACTGTTTATTTCCAGGACCTGTACCCTGTAGTGACAGGAGGTGTGTCAGAGACCCAGCAGCTGCTGAGGCTCAGGTTCGATCACATCTTCTACACAGGAAGCAGCACTGTGGGCAAACTGGTGATGGAGGGTGCAGCTCGACACCTCACACCGGTCACCCTGGAGCTGGGAGGGAAGAGCCCCTGCTACATCGACAAGGACTGTGACATCAGGGTCGCCTGCCGGTAACACACAACTCAGCAGAGAGACACACAAACAGCTGAATGACATGATTCTGTCCTATTGTTCATGCTTAACACTGTGTCCTTTGGTGACCAGTTGAGATTTTGTACTTAGGTAAAGGTGCAACGGCTTTCAAGGGGAATTCTGGTACTTGTGAACCAGGGCCCGAATCACAAACATTCTGAGAATCCTCTCAGAGAGCTCCTAACTTAGCTTAAAAAAATCCTTGCAAGGATGTTTAGCCTAGGAGTTATTTAAGAACAATCTCAGAGCAAATCTGAGCGAAGACGGGACATAAACCTTTATCTTAGTGAGGAGGTCTGGTTGACCCCGTTTCGAAGTATGACACATTTTTTTCAGAAGCTGAGATTGGTTAATCCAAAAAATGGGGGAAAAAAAGTGCGGCCCCTGGTCTGCATTATTACATGTTTTGGCGTCTACTGTAGGTGACACAACAGTATAAAACATTTTGGAATCGAGTTGATGATCAGAAATTGGCTGTAATGGTTATAATGTAATATTTCCCTGTAGTTAAAATATGTGCATCAACAGTGCTTAATTATCATCATCAGCTGTTAACAGACTGCTCTAACAAAAAACAGTTTTTGGCCTTGCTAAAAAGTGGACTTACTTGTCTACCTCGGCCTCGATCAGATATATTGTCTGTGCTAATCTGTGAGTTTGAATCATTCCATACACATTATTCTAGCTATCATTTATTTCTAGTTTTAGAATTTTTAGTCCTGAAGTGTTTTATCCCTTTTTTTGCATAATCAGAATCTATTTATTGTGTTGTATTTTTATGCTTTAGTTCATTTGTATTAAGGGTTACATGTCTAACCTTGTCTTTTCTTTTTTATTTAAAATGGTTGGTAAGGATGCAAACATGTTTTTTTCTGTAACACACTGACACCAACAAACTAATAAATCAGGGCTGATGTAGACAAAAAAAAACAACCATGTTCTGCTATGAAATTACTGTGGTATTTTGTTACTATGGAGTCTGGTCTCTTTGAAAAGAGTGAAGTGAAGTCAGCATCTGATGATCTAGAAGGATTATACTCTGTAACAAATGTTTTGATCTCTGCAGGAACTTTTGATTTTGATCATCGACATCAAAGACTCATTTAAAGCTCCTGTGGGGAGTTTGTAGCTGGTTAAGAAGCAGACTGAAATTAATGTTGATGTCTCTTTATGACCTAAATAAACACACAAGACTATAAGAACAAAGAACAGCTATTTCTGTATGGTTATTTTTAATGCCTGAGACTATGGGGGTTAGAAGCAGTGATTAACAGCACACTATTAAAACAGCCTCTTTTTTTACATTTCTCAATAAGTGACACATTTGAATGTTGAAAGAAAACAGGATGAAGCAAAAAAAAACACTTATTATTCATGTACAGGACAAATAGGTGCAGAGATAGAAGGAGCACCGTTATGCACAGGGGGCACCAAAATCAACACAAATCAAAAGTTCCTTTAGAAACTTTAAATCATTAAGATTCAGAATTGAAACCGTGACACCTCCGACAGCCAACTCTGCACAAAAGTATCTGAATGTTGCTTCTTTAAAGACTTAAAATACTCAAACATTTGAATTGTGAAAGAGGACAAAATATGTTAATGAAAGTGAATTCAGTCTTCAGTTTTTTCTGTGTGCAGTCGCATCACGTGGGGAAAGTTTGTGAACTGCGGTCAGACGTGCATCGCTCCAGACTACATCCTTTGTGAGCCGTGCATCCAGGGACAGGTGGTGGAGTGCATCCGACTTACTCTGCTGGTACCTGTTCAGACTGTCACCTGGTTACACTTTAACAATAAGTGAAACTGCACAGTCTGGAGTTTAATCAAGACCTTCTTAAAATTCTATCCCAGGAATTTTACGGCGCTGATCCCAAGAGCTCACCGGACTACGGCCGAATCATCAACCAGCGTCACTTCATCAGAGTCCTGGGTCTGATGGAGGGTTACACTCCTGTGATTGGAGGACAGAGCGACGCCTCACAGCGATACATTGGTATGCAGAAGTAAAGAAATACAAATATTAACTTATCAGAGAAGGTGAACTAAGGGTCAGAGCTGCTTAAAACATGTGTGTGAAGTTTCTTGTTCTAAATCCGCTCTGATCCTGTATTTGATCCTGACTATAAACACCTCTATTTCAGCCCTGCTCAGAACAGGCTGTTTCTGTGTCTGTACCTTTAAATGTAAATGAGCTGTGTCTGACCACGCCCCCTCTCTGGAAGGGCTTGGGTGGCTCAGGCTTTCTTGCACACTGCCAAATTGTTTACAGTGAGAAGGCAGACTCAGAGGGCAGAACAAACACCAAGCTGTGGGAGTGTCACCCACCTGGGGGAGGGGTTACTGCCCTTTGTGATGTCATGAAGGGAAAATCTCCAAACGGCCTGTTTGAGCACACATTTTCTGAAAAGTGGAGCAGGCAAAAGACGGAGAGGATGGACTTTTCTCATCATTGGGGGGTTTGTAGACAGACTAGGGACACATATAATCTCAGGATTATGTAACAGATGGGTTAAATTACAAGTGGTTGATAGTTTTTACAGGATTCAGATTAAATAGGACTTTAGTTTTAATACATTTAAGGAGAAATGTTGAAGATGGATAAATGACTGTGGAGTTGCCCCTATAGATGACTTCCAGTTGCACCTGCAGAACAACTTGTTCAGGTTGTAACATGTCACTTATTGACTCAGTTCTTGTTTTTCCACAGTTAGTATGAGTGTCAGACCTCTCTACAGAAAGAACAAAGAGAGGACATTTTTGTAAAGTTCAGATACATTTTGTTTCACCAGACGCAGCTGTGACATTGGTCTGTTCAAAGACAGAAACAACCAGTAGAAAATTATTTCACAGGAGACTTATTACTTTGAGAACAATTAACAGCCTGGACTTTAAACTCTTACAACTGTAAAAAAGTTTAATCAGGTGTCAATCTTTTACCAGATTCTTTCTTTGCATATCTATTTCTACTTTTACTCAAGATGAGATACAAAATGAGTGTACTTTTTCGAAATCTGTTAGTAGTGGAGTGAATACTCAGATTGCCGTTTTTTTTAACTCTATATACTGTATATGTACTTTTATGATGTCCTCCATGCAGCTCCCACAGTGCTGAAGGATGTGCCCCCCCACTCCAGGCTGATGCAGGAGGAGATCTTCGGCCCGCTGCTGCCCATCGTCACTGTAAGTGACATGGACGATGCCATCCGCTTTGTCAACGAGCGAGAGAAACCTCTGGCTCTCTACATCTTCTGCAAGGACAAGAAGGTGAGAGGAAGATGCAGCAGGGAGGACGTTCAAACACATTTTTTTATTCATGTTGTAAACTTTTCCTTTTTGTTTTGTTTCTGTCTCTTTAAGGCGGTAAAAAGGATGATAGAGGAGACGACAAGTGGAGGAGTGACGGTCAATGATGTTATGATGCATTACACGCTGAACTCACTCCCGTTTGGTGGAGTTGGTGAGAATCAAAGTGCATTATTGTCTGTATGTTTATGTGGGAGGACTTCTTCATATCAGGCAGCCTCAGGACAAACTATTCCTTCTCGTATGCTGAACATCCAAAGATAAACTCCACTCCAAAACAATTTTACATAAAATCATTTGTTTTTCAGTCCAGAGGGAAAAAATTGAAACCTTTGATCATCTTTCATCAAGAAAGTGGACTTTTTGCAGTGTCAAGTCCAAATCTGGTGTTACTCTAGGTTTTCTTCTTTCAGTTCCAAGTGTAAATATGTGTAGGATTAATTAAACTGGATCACCAAACAGAATGTGCCTATGCTTTTTAAACCTTAACAACATCTTTAATTATTTCAGGAGGAGGGGGGAGGGGTTAACAAATTAAGTTGATAAAATGTTCGTTACTTTTAAGTACAATGTGTTTTAAATACAATTTCTGTTATTTGAATGATGGACAGTATCCAAAAGTACCGAAGCCTTAAAAATAATTACTCAGGTATATTATTAACTAAAAGCTGCTGCTGTATGTATACATTGCACAAATACACTATTAACATTTCAGAACCTAAATGCTGCCAGCATATCTGTGCAATTTTGACAGTGTGCAGTAGTTTACTTGCAATTTTTGTTTATTTAAAACAATAAAATAGACAATTTTGGGTCTGTTGCCGTGGTAACGAAACAGGTGTATATATTGAAGTTTAAAATTCTGGTACTGTTTAAACCATAGTGAGAATACCAGAATGTTTTGAGAGGTGTGTCTCTGGGTTTTTACAAAAATAATCATGCATTCATTTTATTATAATGGTATTTTGGTTGAGCACTGACCTCCTTGTTTTGTTGTGTGCCCCTCCAGGTCAGAGCGGTATGGGTTGTTACCATGGCAAACACACCTTTGACCGGCTGAGCCACCAGAGGGCGTGTCTGATCCGCTCTCTGGGCATGGAGCACGTCAACCTGTCCCGGTACCCTCCTCAGGACCGCCGGCGAGCACGCAGGGCTCGGATGGCGCTCAGGTCACCACTGATCGACATGTCAAAGAGGACGTTAATCTGGGCCATCAGCGCCACCGTCATCGGCTTTGGCCTCTTCGTCACCCTGCTGGTCATCCTCCTCATCGCTGCAGGACTCAACTGCACCTGCTGGTACTACAGAGGCATCTACAACTACTTCTGGTGAAACATCTGATTATAAAACACGCTCTTCTTACAGTGTTCAACAGTCCAAACAAGTTTGTATTTTGCTATTGTTTGTTCAGATTAAAAGATTTATTGAAGTGTTATCATCTCTATTTTATTAGTAGCAAATATAAACCTCTGATTTTAACAATCCTCTCCTTCTTCAACAATACTCCACTTTTATTTCAAACATATAATCCCTTTCCTAAATAGTCACAGAAAGTCTACAACCAACTTCTAAAAAATACAAGATGCTCTTTGACGATGAGTCCTGAATGCAAGGAGTGTTTTTACTGTTTGTGGGCACAAGATGGCAGCAGAGAGTCAGAGCAGAGTTTTTAGGCTCCAGATAAAGATGAGGAAAGGAGCCAACCCGAGGAACACAGTTTCTTTATTTTCTTAATTTGCATTGGCTTAAAAAAAAAAACAGAAATCTATAAATGTGAGATGAGAAGATGCAGAGTATCCCTATAACTAAATAAAAACATGCAGGGTTGGTGATTTTCTAAAAGTAGGGGGTAAAAAAATCAACTTTTTGATAGTAAAAACACAGATTCTAAACCTCTGATGACACAAACTGTAGCATTGACAGTAACAAAGATAAGATCTGACAAATGTAAAGTGTTCAGTTCAGTCCCACAGTGCACTCGAGCCCCTCTCACTGATGTTAACGAGCACCCCATTAGCATCAGATTCTCCCCGCTCCTCTGAGATGCTGCTAAGCTCCAAACAGACATTTTTATCACTTAATAGTTCTCTGGATATCAGAGATCCTGCTTGTAAACCAGCAGTAGGAAACAGCTGACATCCCAGCACCCTGTTTCAGCTCTAACAGGCTCACTGACATTGGGCCGAATTCCTGTAGGCCTAAATTACTGTTGCTTACCCACATAGACTTAAAAATAATGTTTTTTTTCTAAAAGATTATTCAGGTTCTTTGAGATCTGGGTCCTATTTTCACATATGTTGGACTCCTAATGACTAAAACTAAAAGCTCTCAGGCAGATTTTTAAAAGCTACAGCCGATGTGAGCCATCAAACAATATCGACTAAAAGTTATTTTGTTGACACCTTGTTTCTGACAACCTTAAGAAAAGGGCTTTCTATCCATTCTATTTATTTATAGGTAGGACTCTAAACAGAGTCAGAAACCGGGCAGTGAGAGAGAGAGCGAGTGGGGAATTCGGATTTGAACCTGGGCCGTCCGTCTGGAGGACTACAGCCTTCATATACAGGGCGTGCTCACTAACCACTAGGCTACTGGCGCTCCTAGATAAACTGTTTTGTAAAAGAATAATTTTACAGTTCTTTGTTTACAACCAGAAAAGCTGTAAGTTGATTGAAGAAGCATGAATGAGATTACATAGCATTGTCCTGAGATTATTTTGCGACCATTACAGTTTGCTCGGCTGCTGGCTGAAGAAATCTACTAAAAGAATCCAAATGTTTTGTACCCTGTAAGTCATTTAGACTACATCATATGTAAAAATGGGGCCTAGTTTTGAAAATATCTGAATCAGTAAGCGGTTCTAAGAAATCGGGAATTGAAATGGGCATTTATTACTTGACTTTCAGTCTTTTCTAAATGGATCTATTCTAATTAAACCAGCAGTGTGGATGGTACTTTATGTGTGTCAGTTGTAGAGTTCATCCCTTAGGGCAGATTGGTGCTGTCAGTGGGGTTGCAGTTTCTACAGGTTGATGAAAACCAGGAATGTTTTTTGGATCCCTGTTTCAGAGTTTTGAGTGTTGCATTCAGCACCATTACCATCTTGTTTATTTGCAGCCAGATGTGAGCATATTTGGACGACATGGCGCTGCAGTAGAAGACCAAAGGATCAACAAATACAAATACATTTTTTAAAAAGTGTGTACATTCATGTATGTCCCTGCTCACAGTATTAAAGGGGGGCTGGGATGCCATTGCAGTGTTTGCAAATGCTGCCTGACTAGATGATTCATCTTGGATATAGAAAAAAAGACGTGACCATTCTTTAATAAGATATGGTGACTTTTTTTGGTCGATAGTTCGTAGGGTTAAATTGTCTATGACAACTATCTGATAAAAACATACCTGAATATTCGGTCTATCAGACTTTTATACGTACAGATGGTTCAGGTGACACAAGGACATTTCTTATGACGTCTACAACAGCATGTTTGACAGGTGTCCAACTGTCCAACCTCTTTCTGAGATTGTGTCGTCAGATGACTTATGCTCCGCAGGCCTGCTCTGTGTATCAGGACTTTGTTTCTGCGAGATTTGAAAGTTTACTTTTGCAGATATTTGCCCTCATTTGTCCTCTCTGCAGACAACACACCCTGCCAAAGAGCCGTCAACTCAGCAGCTGCATGACTGAACTCTGCTGGCAGCCAAGCCGAGCACACACACACACACACACACACACACACACACACACACACACACACACACACACACACACACACACACACACACACACACACACACACACACACTCACAACACACACACACACTGCTGCTTTAGAAAGAAAGACATCCCTGCTAGCACAAATATTTTCCTGCAGACTTCTGGCTTTAAGGGTCTAGATTCTAGGAACAGTATTTCTCATGACTCCTTTTTGTTTCAGACATCCACTGAATAATTTTAAACAAAAGAGTAAGCTTTATAAGCAGTACATTTTGACTTTGAGAAGTGAAAAAATGTGAAGGTGAACATATGTTTTCTTATATGCTCGTATGTTTAAATCATGTTTTTTGGAAGTCGTCCAGCTGTACATTTGGCTTCTGCTGGTGTCTGACATAGATTAAAAGGTGATTTATTTTCCTTCTCACATGCAGCTGTTTATCAGTTTTATGTTAACACATTATGTCCTGGGGCGCTGTTGGCCAAGTTTTTAGGGCACGCGTCCCAAGTACAGAGGCTGTAGTCCTTGAAGCGGACGGTACGGTTCATGTCCAACTTGTGGCTCCATTCCTGAATGACATCCCCCACTCTCTCTGTCCCTATATCACACTTATACTGTATATATATATATATATATATGTATGTATGTATTTTTTTTTTTAACAAACACTAAACAAACAATCCAGACAATGACAGACAGACAGTGACGTGAAACCATAGACTGAAGAAACATGAACGTAGTCTCAGTGATGTCACCAGTTAGCTTCTGAAGAGATGATTTGAAGCCAAATGACGGCAGTCTCTGTATTGAAAATACAGCATCCAAACCTGACTTTTGATCAATCAAAAAAAACGAGCAAAAAAGTGGATTTGAGGCGGGCCTTCAGCCTTCTGGCAAACAGTTGGAACGCATCCACCTGTCAGTCAACTCCGCCACACCCAAAATCATGCAAATGTATGCTTAACTATTAGCTTCTATATCATCAAAACAGATGATTTGTAAAATTGACACACTGGGCAGTGTATGCCAATAAAGAAATAGGCTACAGTGATGGAAACTGTTCTTTTAACCTTAGGTTTTTGCAGCCACACTCAAGGAACTGCTTTTCTTTGGCACTTCTGCATTGGCTTCATCGTTCAACACCAGAGATTCAAATGCTTGAATTTATTTCACATTATATATTTTTTTTAAGGAGAAAAGAAAAGGAGCCTTCAAAGAAATAATGTCTGTGCTTCCTTAGAGTCCCAGAATGTCTTTTGAAATGTTTGAGGTTCTTTTTGGTCCAGGATCGTTCACTGGAGAAGTAAGCAAAGTCTTTTACATTAAAATACACAAAGAAAGGAGACATCACTTATAGGCTCAGATTTCTTGGTTTAAAAAAAAAGAAATCTTTAAACCTTTTTCCAGGTAAATTTTATCAAGAGGTCTGAGCTTGAGGTGGGGATTTTTCATTTTTTTTATATTAATGCCATGTGTAGTTGGACACATCGGAGAAGAACATACAGGCGAACAGAAAACATAAGCGGTTTCAGTCTGTGCATGGAGAACACACTGGTTGTGCACATACAGTCTATAATGATGCACCAGTCACAGGATGTAAGCCTCATCACCCGCTCCTGCTCACACCTGAATATTTCCTGCTGCGTGCTCACTCTGGCTCACAACATCTTCACACTTACTAGGAGCCTAGCAGGAAACATTCTGGATAAAGTTGGAGTACAGAGAGTTGATGTCAATAGAATATTTCCCTCTGAAATGTAGGGAAGAAGAGGTGCAAGTAGGTGAGTACATTATCTAACCAATACTGTCATGATTTATTTATCACTATTCTCAGATGATAACTTGTATCACTGCACAAGTTATTTTCTATGTTTGATTTTACTGGAACGTGTGACTGTTAAAATGTGTTCACGGAGCAAACCTGAGAGTTTTACTGAATAAATACACGTTTGAATGACTGAATGTCCTCAAAACACAAATACAGATCTTTGTAAAATGCCACTCAGTTGCTGTCTAATGCATTCTTCTGAGCGCCTTTAGAAACAAAGAAAGCTCAGTCTGCATGTGTGGAGCACCTGAAGGTGGTAGAGGCTGCTTCTCATGTCTCAAAGTGTCACACAGCTCAAAGGTTAATTAGTGCTGGAGGTGCAGCTGAGAGGTTTACCTGTGTGGAGGTGAAGCAGCTAATTAGTCTGAGGGAGGAGTCTTTGCTCGTACTTAAAGGAGCTGCAGGGTAAACAGTCTGTTTGAAACAATGCAGTCCATGCAGCTTGTTGTGTTTGGCTTTGTGCTTGCATGTTTGAGGCTTAATGACGCTCGATTCCTCAGTATGAGATTGCCAACGTATCTGGGTTGGAGGAGCAGAAGCCTGCAGAGGTGGAGGCCGAGCCGGCAGCACGACCTGAGAGCGGGAACTCCAGGGAGTCTGCAACACAAACTGCAGGGATTCTTCAAAGGAAGATCTGGCCAGAAATCGAACCGTTCTCCTGGAAGTTTCCAGAAGATCCAGTGGAGCTGAAGATCATGCCTCCTGTTGAGCTTAAGCAGCAGCAGCAGCAGCAGCAGGTGACGAAAGAACGTGTTGCAGTGAGGTGTTGGGAGAGTAAGATCCAGGTGGAGGTGAGTCAGGACCTGTTGGGTCTAAGCAGTAGGGTGAAACCAGAGGAGGTCACGCTTGGTGGTTGTCCAGCCACAGAGGTCGACGACTCTTCTCATGTGCTAGTGTTTGAAAGTGAGCTGCACGACTGTGGAAGCATACTAGTGGTATGAGTATTTTTATTAGATAATATTGCACGTTGGGTCAGTTCAGTCTTTAAATAGATGTTCTTCTTCCTCAGATGACAGAGGATGCCTTTCTTTATGCCTTTAAGCTGGTCTACAAACCCAGAGTGTTGGGCAGAAGTGGCATCATCAGGGCTCAGAGTGCCGTCATCGGAGTGGAGTGTCACTACCCGAGGTGACCTGGATCACACAAAAACAACCCTTCAGTTTGACCTGTGGACAAAAATAAACTGATTTATATGTAATATGAAAAATAAATTTAAGTTTTTACCTTTACCTTGGCCCATGTATAACATGTCATCATGCATAAGAACAGACTTTGAGACTTTGCAAAGACTGGGTATCTTCACTTACAAGTGGAGTCCTTTTAGGATTATTTCCCATCATGCCTGTGGTGAAAATTTACATTGGAGGAGAAACATGAGAAGCTTCTCCTTGTGTGTAGTGGTTTTAATCACCTGCAGTGATTAAAGCTGTAATGTTAGCTGTATTAACATTATGAGCTAGCAGGTCACAAATGAGGCAATTCTTCGACTTAAATGTTTTTCCTGAACCTTAAGCTGCGCTGCTGACACAGACCAACTATGGTGTACAAAAGCCCGCTTGTTGTGTTTATAAGAAATAAAATAAGTTGTTCATATAGCTTTCAGTTGTATTTATTTTAACAGCTCCATTTTGCTCTGTCTGATCGCAGTGGACTGCGGCTGAAATATTGTTTGTTAACTGTCAAATATGCCAAAAGAACATTTTAACAATGAATTCCTTTAAGGGGAAAATGGGAGCTATTCTAGTCAGATCTATGATGGAAAGTGATTTTACAAGTCTCAATATGCAGCAAGTGTTTTTGCTGCCAGTTCTTCCTGAATCTCTCACTGCAGCTGCTCTGATTTCAGAGTGGATCATCTGTTTAACTTACTATTTTTTGTTAATATAGTAAGCCTTGAGTTTGTGAAATATGATGACTGCTGATAACAACCCTGGTTTGTCTGTGATAACGAGTTAATTTCTCGATCTTGATGAAATGACTAAAATTCACTTATCATGGGGAATATCAAGGTTTTTATCCCCAGATGAAGAGATAAACAAGTTGAGATTTTGAGAAAACAGCTGAAATGCTCTCTCATAATCAAGGGAAAACAGAGTAAAATAAAATGTATGGATGCATGTCCTCTCAGGGCTTCCATAGCTGGGGTTTATGAAGCCAGATAACCAAATATACTGCAGATATGTTGAAGTCAATTTGTAGTATAAAAATATGGATGTAGTGACTTCCTTTTTTTTTTCCCCAAGTGTTTTGTGCTTGATGATGGAATGTTTTAATAAGAGTCCAATCAATTGAAGAGTTGCTCTGATTTGGGAACTGCCAAGATGAAGCAAAAACATCTGTATTGCATTTTCTTGATTTTGCAACCAAATGGAAATGTGTCTCTTCTGTAATCAACAAGATAGATGGGGAAACTGTGGTTGATGAAATGGAGTTGAAATCTTTGCTGTTGTCACACACACTTCTCAGAATTGATTGTGATGATCTTCTATAAGGCCATCTTCCTACGAGGAAGTGTGCCAATACAGCTACTGTGCTTTGGATGAAGGTGATATATCTTTAATTTACCAGCTCACATCAGAGATCTGACACAGAATAGCCGTCAGGTTGATGTGTGCATTAGTAGTATAAGTAGCTCCTATCTGGTGGAGTGAGATGATGATTAACACACTAAAGCAGAAAATCAGTCCAATTATCCCAGATATAAATGCCATTGGCTGTTTAAGTGTTATGTTGCCTGACATGTTGATAATAACACATAACCAGTCAGAATGCTCTCAATCATGTGTGGATGCATGCAGTATGCGTGAAGCTAATGTGTTGCTTAGGAGGATCGCTTCAGGACGAGTGTGCACAAGGCTGCAGTGAGGTCTGAAATGTGTGCCATAGTGTGTGAAAGCAGCTAGTGACCTCTTTTCCTGTGTCTCCTCTGTCTTACACCGGTGCTTGTCCTAACATGCTGATGATCCACAGCAGGTTTTGAAAACCAGTCCAGAAATCTCCCTGCAGCCGAGGACGATTAATACTATGATCCAGCAGAAATGAATGATAACAACCCTGGTTTTAGATCCAAGTGTACAAGGCTGTGATTTTAATTTATCCTGGATTTCTCCTCCTGGAACATATCCTGCTGACGTTTGATTGTTGTTGGAAGTTCAAACTTTGTCAAACCGTTTCAGGATTTCTGAAAACTCTAATTCATGCTGAAGACCACGTTGTTGATAAATACATGTCAGGACAAGATATTTTTATGCTCAGTTTGTATTGGATGGGAGTTTTTCCAGGAAACATATCACTGTTAATCATGCAGCAGCTGCTTTGTATCCTGCCAGATCATGATCAGAAAATAACTTTTGCATTTGTCATATGTTTGGAAAGAGTTGTTTTCTGTAGCCGTTCCATTGACCTCACAATTGCATGTTTCTTCTTCATTTTCATCTAGATTTTCATTTTGCATTTCCAAAAAAGTGTGTCTAACAACATCTGCGGAGTGTGCGCTGGCTGTGTCTTTCATCTCTCCCACATGTCTTATTCCTCCTCCTCCTCACAGCTGGAGAGGCCTGATGACAGCAGCGTACTGCATGTGACTCAGAACCTGCAGAGTCTGGATGCTTTTTTATAAATATGCACATTTAAAAAAAAGCCTATTTATGCCACCTGCGCAGAAGCACTCTCATCTAGCTTATCTTTCTAAAATGTTTCCTTCTAGCCTATTCAGAAACAATAATATGAACACTAAAGAAATGGAAATTATTTTATCTCTTAATGAGTATATTCTTTCAAAATTAAAGTCTCATCTTTTTTTCTCAAACATGGAAAAGGGTTAAAGTTTAGCAGAAACGCCCACAGTTGAAAGGTAGATCCAATGCAGAAGCAACAAAACATGCAGTTCCCGTAGTGGCCACTTGAGGCTGGCTCCAAAAGGTCAGTCGAGTGTGTTTATATGTAGCTGAAAGGGATTTACATATTACTTACCAGCTAGAAGTAAAACAGAACCAGTGTTGATTATAATCAGCTTAGAAACAAGAGACACTTCCTGATCTCATAGAGAGCATCAAGTATACGTATCAGTACCAGCAAGGAGTTCATGTTGTTTTGCCTGCACTATATGAGTGAGCACTAAATGAATGCACTAAATACAGTAAGCGCACTATATGATAGATGAACTTTCTCCATCGTCAGTTGATTGTAGTTTTAAAAGAGCAGTCCCACATCACATCTGTCACATCTGCCTCGTGTAAGTGCGGCTGGATTCCCTTTCACTGCGGTCGTCTTTTCCTTTCCTTTTATTCACACCTTTCCTTGACCCTTTGACCTTATTCATCAAGGTCAAGGAAAAGTGGATAGGAAAGGACTTTTTGAATGGATCCAAGGCTTCGTAAAGGCAGTCCACAAACCAATGAGTCCAATGAGGGTATTACAGATGGGTTTCGGCTGCTATACAGACTTCAAATAACATTTATAGCAATAGCAATTTTATTTATATAGCACCTTTATCATTACAGATAAGCTCAATGTACTTTACATTGAGGTTAAAAACAAAATCCAAACACAGCATACAAAAAAAGTGTTTCCACAGTCATTAATAAGATACAGAAATCTAATCAGTGAAGTCATACACACCACAAAGCAAACATCAGTTACAACAAAAGTGATCATACACACATACTAATAGTAACCATTCATATCCTTTGGAGAACAGATTGTTTTAAAAGTAGACACAGTAGTAATGGACCTCAGGTCAGCAGGGAGTTTGTTCCAGAGAGAAGGACCACAGTAACTAAAGGCCCCCTCTCCGGACTTATTTAAGACATCTACCTGATGACCTGAGGGTCCTGGTTGGGTTTAAGTCTGTGAGCAGTTCAGAAATGTACTCAGGAGCTGAATCATACTCTTAACTTTCCTGTCCTCTAAAAAGATACCCATTAAAGGTCACAATCTTCAAGGTTTAAATATATGATTACATGTCAATTAAAAACTCCTCGCTCACCCTTCAGTATGCAAGCCATTAAGCATTTGGTATCATTTCCCAACATTGTCAATGTTTGTGCACGTGTGTTTTTGTTGGTTTAAACGCCAATGCTGATAGTTTGTCAATATTAAAACGTTCCATGTGTGTACTGAACATGCATGTTCGCCTGCAGTATTGATTTGTTTGAAAGTTCACCAATGTTTACTATCTGTCCGAGCGGTAAGGCATTACCAGCTTTGTAAACGGATGGAGCCTGTGTTCATTAGAGCATCGATTCGCTGAGATTATGGTTGTTGTGCAAACAGCACAACATCCGTGATTTCCTGAGGAGGGAGCTTCCTGTTTCCATGAACTGCTCTGACGTCAGACGGTACCATTTTAAATATTTAATTCATGCATGTTTTAGGGAATCGTTTCCGGAAATGGAGAGCCAGGTGTTTGCGAAATATTAACTCTGAAGAGTTTGTTCTACCTAATTAAAAAAACAATCTGTAAGGAATGACTGATGTAACACTCGTTGGTGACTGGTGGAAGGAGTAATGAATGAGGCAACTGTTGGAGCTGCCTCGTCTTCATGGCAACCAGCACAACAAGGTAAAAGAGCCAATTTACAAGCTGGTAATTTTGCTAAGGGTCAGTGGCTGTTTCATGTGAGGGTTGTGCTGTGTGTGATGCAAATATGACTGGGCAGCAGAAATATTCAGGACATATTTAGAACATGATGAACAGATGATTCAGGATGCTGTGTTTGCTAAAAAAAAAAAAACAGGATGTCTGATCATTGTCTAGTAAACTCATTCTGCTCATTCATGTGTTTTTTATTGGTTATAAAACGACTAGAGATGTGACGTCAAAGCATTTATATCAAATGATTTACTTACGTCTGTATCAGACACATCTACAGAGCTTTCATTGTAAGCCAATACCTGCACGTCAAACATTACAAGGAAATGCCTTTAAAAGCACAAACAACTAACTTTAACTTTAGCAAGGAAATGTCATCAAGTGATTAAACATTACTTTCTAGCTTGGATTTGATAGAATATTAGCTCTTTTTTTTAAAAAGATTCATTTTGGGGCATTTTGTGCCTTTATTGGAGAGACAGGACAGTGGACAGAGTCGGAAATCAGGGAGAGAGAGAGTGGGGAATGACATGCAGGAAAGGAGCCACAGGTCGGACTCGAACCCTAGCCGCCCGCCTGGAAGACCAGAATATTAGCTTTTGTCTGAAATTAGCTTTAAGGAGACCATCACTATCA